GGCTGGGGCGAGGTGCCCCCCCCATATTCCCCTCCCCACCTTCTCAAGCCCCCTGAACCCCCTACTTACCTGCCACAAAGCTGGGTCCAGGTCCCTGCAGCCTGCACCACTGCTTACCCTGCACAGGCAGGCAGCATGCAATGGCCAGCCATAGAGACACTCTGGCTGGCTACAAGAGCGTCTCTGTGGAAGACTGAGCCTCCAGTTTTCATAGATTTATAGGTTCATAGATTTAGGGTCGGAAGGGACCTAGTAGATCTTCTAGCCCGACCCCCCGCCAGGGCGGGAGAACAACAAAACCCCAAAACAAGAAACGGGACTCAAATGAGTCCAGCCAGGTAGGCATCCAGCCTCTTCTTAAAGACCCCCAGGGTAGGGGCCAGCACCACTTCCCTTGGAAGTTGGTTCCAGCTCCTAGCCGCCCTAACTGTGAAGTAGTTCTTGTGGATGTCCAATCTATACCTCCTCTCCATCAACTTGTGCCCATTACTCCTTGTTATGCCAGCGGGCGCTAGGGGAAACAGCGTCTCCCCCAAACCCTTCTGGTCCCCCCTAGTGAGTCTATAGACGGTCACCAGGTCCCCCCTCAGCCTTCTCTTGTGGAGGCTGAATAGGTTCAGGTCCCGCAGTCTCTCACTGTAGGGTCTGCCCTGTTGTCCCCGGATCATGCGGGTGGCCCTCCTCTGGACCCTCTCCATGTTGTCCACATCCCTCTTGAAATGGGGCGCACAGAACTGGACACAATACTCCAGCTGTGGCCTGACCAGCGTCACGTAGAGGGGGAGGATCACCTCCTTGGCTCTACTCAAGATGTACCTGTGGATGCACGACAAGGTCCGGTTAGCCCTGCCAACCATGACCTCGCATTGTCGGCCCACGTTCATCTTGGAGTCAATAATGACTCCAAGATCTCTTCAGTTGCCTCAGGGCATGGTCTGGGACCATGTCCTGCCATGCTTTTTTCACCCCCCACAGTATTTTTTTACCCTTGGATATCCAGGGGTCTAATTCTACCCCTGCGCTGCAGATCTGTAGCATGGGGAACGTTTTTTGTTCCCACACATGCCTCTTGCAGCATCTCAAATGGGTTTGAGACGCTGCAAGAGGCACATGTGCATGTGTCTGGGCATGTCCCAGGAGTTTATGGTGGGTTCTAGAGTGGCAGTAGAAAGAATTAGAAAGTAGAAAGGAAGTGAAGTGTACAAGAGATGGATGGTGTGACCAGATTATAAGTCACGTGGGTATTGTATTTAAGTGGAAACCAAAGAGAAGTAGGAGAGTTCATGGAACAATGGTGAAGTTTGGGGGTAGGAGCAGAGGACAAGATGAATTTGTAGCTTGGAAACAATTGGAGATACTGGCAGCAAATCAGAGGGGCGCTACTGTCCAGGGGGCACTGAAAACCCAGATCAAACTCCCTCTGCTCTAGTTCCCTCCTCCCATTCTGAAAAAAGCTCAAGGCTACAAGACTGCTAAGACAGAAGTTACAGAAGACACTCTGTTTTGAAACATCTTCATGCAAATGAGGGATCAGATTTCTGCCTGATAAGCCATTTTTAAGCAGTCTGCAGCCATGCATTTGTGTTCGGTCATGGCTATAGACTGCTTTCTATTGCCAGATCGGGCAAAAATTGTCACTTCTACCTGTGCCTGAGCTCATTTTGAGCTACTTTGTGTATCTCTAGACCAGCAGTTCTCAACCTTTTTTGTACCAGGACCCATTTGTAAGCATCAATGGCCTGTTCCAACCCAGTGCCCCTCACTCCTGACCCACTACCCCCCGCCCCGAGGACCCAGCCCCGAAGTGTGTGGGGCAGGGGGTGGGTTGTGGGGCAGGGTGTCTGTGTGTGTGGGGGGAGTATTGGGGGCCCAAAGCAGCCCCTTGCAAGCTGGAACTCTTGCCAGCCTGCAAGGGAAGAGCCATGGTTTTCCACATTTTTCTCCATTAAAGGAGAATCCATTTTTAAAGTTTGCCCACAACCCTTTCATATATTCTTGCAACCTACTTTTGTATCTTAACCTACAGGCTGTGAAACACTGCTCTAGATGATGCTGTTTTGTTCCATATAGAGATAACCTACCTAGGGTTCTAAAAACAATTTAGCCAGAGCAACACAAAGTTCATGTAGAGCTAGGCTGGTATTTCTACAGTACACTACAGTGTGTAATGTAAATATTCCCATAATCCTTCTATTTATATGGAGTGGGCTCTGGGTTCAAACCCCATTGTCAGCTCTAGTGAAGGCAATTGTGTAAGTATGGATTTATTAGGTATGTAATAAATTGTACCTGAAATCAAAGAAGTCCAAGGCAGTCATTGTTTCCAGAACTGAAAATTGTTCCACAAGTAGCTTAAGGATCATTGAGATCCTCTGCATTCGCGTGACAACCTTAAGCATGTTCCTCTCATCTTTCATCTTATTAAAAAAAAGAAATACCCATCAAAACCACATTGCAAAAAATATATTTCTTTACATTCTCCCTCTATCTCTGCCTCAGGCTTTTACCAAATGCCCTTCATCATAGTATGTAACTGTTAGGGCTGTGCAAAACTTTGGAAGCCAACTGGATTCAGAGGAGATTTGGCATGATTCGGGGACCGAATCTCTGAATCCAAATCGAATTGGGAGACGAATTAAAAGCTCTGAATCTATTTGAAGCATCTGAATCAATTCAGAAAATGATTCAGAAAAGATTTGGTGATTTGGCCATAGATTAAACCAGCAGCTGACACAGCTGCCTCCAGCTGGTAAGTCTGTTGGGGTTGGAGGAGGGGGGAAGGAAGGGGTGTGAGGGAGGGAGAGATTGGGGCTGTAGCTGGGACAAGCTGCCCAGTCGAGGTGGGAGGTGCAGGACTTGGACAGGGGGCATGGGATGCAGGCACACCCAGCACTTGGAGCAGGGGCTATGCCCTGTTGCCACTTGCCCAGCCAGGGCAAGGGGCTGGGATGCAGGTGCGGCTTGCTCCAGGCTGAAGGGGCCAAGTGGCAGCAGGGCATAGTCCCTTCTCCCAGTGCTGCCATGTGCGCACCCTGCACCCCACTGCACCAACTGGTAAATAGAAGCAGGGCAGAGTTCCTGCTCCCAGTGCTGCCGCACCCACATCAACACTGGGAGCAGGGACTGTGCCCTGCTGCTGCTTGCCAGCTGGCATGGAGGGGTAACGGATATGGGCGTGACAGTGCTGGGAGCAGGCGCTATGCCATGCTGCTGCTTGCCCCCTTCCACCTGGAGTAAGCTGCACCCACATCCTGCTCCCTCCCCCACCCCAGCTGGGCAAGCAGCAGCAGGGCAGAGCCCCCGCTCTGAGCACTGCTGCACCCACATCCTGTGCCCCCCCACTCCCCTCCCAAAATAACACGCCCCTCCCCACCCTCGCTGGGCAGCTTGTCCCAGCCCCAATTCCACCCTCCCCACGACCCTTCCCTATCCCCTCCCACAACCCCAACAGATTTACCAGCTGGAGGCAGCTGTGTCAGGTGTCTGTTTAGTCTATGGCCGAATCTCCAAAGCAGTGCTAAATCTTTCAGACCTGATTTGGCTGAATCAAATCAGGACAGTGATTCAAATCTCTAGATTGAATCACTGTCCTCCAACTCAGCTGAATCCGAATCCGAAGTGAATACCTGCTGCTTCACACAGGTCTAGTAACTATCTTCTACACAAAATCAAGAAGCAGCACTATGAACTCATGTATAATATGTAGAATGCTAGTTGTCATACTTCTTAAAACTCTATATATGCTTTTTTTTCAACACAAACTTTTTTCCTTCTTTTTTCCTTTTGCTTTTACCCAGTGTGAAAAGGAATTTATAAAAGGTGCATTACTTTAAGTAAATGCTTTGGTAAACATTTTCTAATTTTCAGAATGCCATCAACATATTGAAGTTCACTGAACAGCACTATTTTTTTTGTTAAAAATATTGGGCAAATTGTTTTTTTCCATGGTCCAATTCTAAACAATGCAATTAATTTATATAATAATCCTTAAGTGCTAGATCTGACTTACAAGATTCAATTTAACCAGCTGGTCTATTCACAAAATATATCAGGGGAAGCTTAAGATAAAGTTTTTCACTTTATCAGTGCATCAAGTCTATTTCATATCTGACAATTGTCAATAAATGCTCAAAATATTCCTCTCAGACCTGCTGTTTTCAGAGATCATAAAATCATTTATTCTTTTTTTGATATTTCCTCTCAAATTTGGTCATATCATAACTATACATTGAAGACAGCTCTGCTTCTTGTTTCTAGTACTTGGAAAAATATATACTAGCATTCAGTGCCATCACACAGATTTTAATCTACACTTTAAAAAAGATTCAAAGTTAGAAGGAATATTTTCAAAATAGAAATATAATCTTAAATAATTTATTAAAATGAATCAATATCCCTTGAATCCTCTCTTATCCATATACATATGTATATGTATTTTAATTGTGTTCCTATTCCTAATCATTTTTGGCAGTAAAATATTCCCAAGGCTAGCATCCACAACCCATACAAATAGTGGTGTCAGTGTGTGTATGTAGTTTGGCCAACATGGTGTCTCCAGGGCTAAATACAGATAGTCAAAAAGCAGGAGGCTGAATTAATTCAGTCTTTATAGGTTAAGTCTAAGCTGTGTAGATTGAAATGATAAGCAGGAAAACAGACATTCACTTTTGATTCCTGAAAGCAGTCACATGCCTGCAGTGGCTCAGGACGGGGTGGGGTAGGAGAAGGGATGGAGATGGGGGGGTGCTAGAGTAAGTTTTCCTGCTCAGCTGGAGCAAACAGTTTGGGCCAAGGCTAGCCCACCCACCCAGTGAAGCGCAGTTTGCCAGGGAGGTACAAAGCATTTTGGGATGCTGGGAGACTGTACATTAACTTGAATCTGGAGGGAATCTGGGACAAAAGTTAAATAAACTGATTTAACCTAAATCAATTGAGTCTGATCATGAGTGACTGGTGCCTCCTCAATCTGGAGGGGCACCTGCAGAAGCTACTGATAGTGGTGGCCCTGTCAGGGGGGGCACCAGCCCTACTGACAGCATCAGTTTTGGCCATCAGGGGGGCACCAGCCCCATCGGGGGGGCACATGCACCCCCATGCACCCCCTACTAGTCGTCTATGAGTCTGATACTGCATCCATCCAGGTTTATCTTAAACTGGTTTCAGCCATTTTAAAAGCAGTTTATGTGCACTGAATGTCTGTTGTGTTACAGATTCAAACCAGTTTCTGATCACTTATACTGGTTTATGTGTAATTTCTGTCCCTAGCCCATGAGCGATCTATGAGGAATCAGTCACTGTAGAAAACAGTCCTTGAAAAGTACATGGATTTACAGATCAAAGTTTCAATAAACAGTTGTCACTTAACTGAACTTCAGCCTTAAAAACACAACTTTTCAGGTTTATGTAATGTTGTACAACTCAAACATTTAAAAATACACTCAGATTTACTTAGTTAAAATATGTGAACATAAATTACCTTGCCATTTTGAAAGATCACTCGAACAGAGTCCAATTCCCATAGAATCTGCTTAAACCAAAGCTCATAAGCTACAATAAGAAAAATAGCATTTAGTTTGTTATTGTTACAGGTTTGCAAAAAGAAGTTAGAAAAAAAATTTAGGAGGTTCAGTTATCTCCCTGTTTACTGTTAAATCTTAATTTAAAATTAATGCTGCATGTCCCTAAGATTGGGGGAAGAGTTTTAGGGGAAACTCTATCTTTTCTCATAAGTCTTGTGTCTTAGGTCCCTTATCATTTTTGTTGTTCTGTGCAGGACTCTTTCCAAACTATCTGCATCCTTCTAGAATTGTGGCATCCAAAACTAGACATAGCACTCCAGGTGAGCCTCACCAGTGCCGAACAGAGCAAAAGAATCACTTCCCTTGATTACCAGGTGACACTTCTGTGAATACAACATAGTATGCTGGTAGCTTTTTTTTCCACAAGAGCACACTGTTGACTCATTTTTCAGCTAATGGTCTACTGTAACCCCCAAATCTTTCTCTGCTGTACTGCTCCATAGCCAATCATTCCCCAGGCTGTATCTGTGCATGCAGTTATTCCATCTGAAGTGCAGGGTGTCACAATTATCTTTGTTGAATGTCATATTATTGATTGCAAACCATTTCTCCAGTCTACCCAGGTCATTCTGGATCCAAGCTCTATCTTTCACTGTCTTCAATGCCACCCAACTTTATGTCAACTGCAAATTTGCCAATCGTGCACTTGGTTCCATCATCCAAAGCATTAATTAAGACACTAATCAATACTAGACACAGGACAGACCCCTAGGAACCCACACTTGATACCTCCTCCAAACTAGACATTGGGCCATTGATGACTGCTTATTAAACATTAGGGCTGTGCGAAGCTTCGTTCCCTGATTCGGCCTGATTCAGTGGCCAAATCTCCAAGTCCAAATCGAATCAGGAGACCCTTTAATCTCTCCAAATCGAATTGGACCCTCTGAATTGATTCAGAAAGATTCAGTGATTCGGATATAGACACAACTGTAAATGTTTTTTCTACATACCGCAAGGCACCAGGCATCTCATGAATACTGTGATGGTGGGGCGGATGGAGTGTCTCACAGGAGCATGCAGGGGCTCCCCAACATGCTCAGCAGCAGACCTGGAAGTGGACCAGAAGCACTTCTGAGTCCACTGGGGAATGTGCTGGGGGGCCCCCCATGCCTCCCTGGCTTGGTGACAGGTGCCTCCTGGGTCTAGGGGGGCACCTGGGGCTGCAGGGGCCCCCCCGTGTGCTTGGCAGCAGACCCAGAAGTGGACCAGAAATACTTCTGGTCCACTTCTGGGTTCACCGCTGAGCACGCAGGGGGCCCTTCCATGCTCCTGTGGGACACTCCATCTGCCCCAGTATCACAGCATTCACAAGCCGTGCCTGGTACCTCGAGGTATGTAGAAAAAATATTTAAAGCTGTGTCTATGGCCGAATCACTGATTCTCTGAATCAGCATCAAATCTTCAGGTTTGGAGTCAGCTGAATTGAATTAGGGACAGTGATCTCAATCAACAAATCAAATCACTGTCCCTGATTCGGGCTGAATCTGAATCAAATACGGCCAATTCCGCACACCCCTATTGAACATGATCATGTTTTAAACAGTTGCACAGTACTTATAATACTTTCATTTAAGCTGTATTTCCTTAGCTTATTGATGAGAAAGTTATGGGAGACACTGTCAAAAGCCTTGCTTAAACTCCAGGTATATCACATTCACTGCTCTCCTCCCATCCACAGAATGTGTCACCTTATCATAGAAGGTAATCAGGTTGGTCAGGCATGACTTGCTCTTGATTAATCTATTCTGGCTGTTCCTGACCACTTTGTTTTCCTCTAGGTGCTTCACAATAATTCCTTGAGGACCATGATCTTTCCAGGTATAGTGGTCAGGCAGGCTGATCTGCAGTTCCCTGGAACCCCTTTATTCAGGATGAGCATTATATTTGTCCTTTTCCAGACATCTGAGACCTTACCCAACCTTCATGAGTTCTCAAAGAGGAGAGCCAGGGGCTCTAAAATTACCTCAGACAATTTATTTAGTACCCTAGGGAGCATTCCACCCAACCCTGCCAACTTAAAAGCATCTAGGCCCTCTAAGTAATCCCTAACCTGTTCTCCTTCTATGAAGCTATTTGTCTCCTTCCCGATCTTTGCTGCTAACTATACTAATCACCTGGTAGCTGCTCCTGTTTGTGAAGGCTGAAGTAAAAATGAATCAAATACTTCAGCCTTCTCTGCATCATTTGTAACTAGACTGCCTTCTGCAAGGTACCTATGGTTTCTCTGGCCTTCCTCTTGACATACTTTTAGAATGCCTTTTATTCCTTTTTTTTGTCCCTTGCCAGCTTCATCTCAAATCATACTTTGGCATTCCTATTTTTTTCCCTGCATGCCCATGAGATATTCTAATGCTGCTCCCTAGTCCTCTGATCAAGTTTTCACATTTTATAGAATTCTTTTCGAGTTTCAACTCATTCAAGAGGTCACTGTGTAGCCAGGTTGGTCTCCCATTGCACTTTCCAACATTAGCTCTTTCTGCCCAGTTTCAAACTTTTGCATGTAAGGCAAATGTGATAACCACTGCACTACTGAAACCTAATCAAGACCATGTCAGGACTGCAGTCTTGAACCCAGGGTTCTGGCCTGATCAGCCTGGATGTCTATCCCAAACCACCACCACACCTTGACAGTGTCAGTCCATTACCCTAATGATGTAGAGATACACATGTAAGCATAAACATATTGGTAAGTGAGTGGGTGCAAAAGCTTGCATTTATTTAAGAATTAATAACTGCATCTGAAATGCAGAATAAGCTTTATATGGAATATAATGGCATCAAATAAAGGATGTAGCAAAATTATGCTGAATAGCAATAATCTTGTTCTCTCTTGCAGCTTACCTTGGTGGGTCACAATAAAAAGATGTTCATCATGGATTTTATTTCCTTTTTTTTCACTCTGAAGCTCTTGAGCATTCAATATTTTGTCCAGCTAAAAAAAAAAAAAGCCAGTTATCATCCTAGTACTCTGATATTGATTTTAAACAGTTTTCCCCTCAAAGACATTGAAATGAGTTTTATAAGAATGTTCAGGTCTTCACTTGCATTTTATTCATTTTGAATTTTAACTGGAGTTTCACTATTGCTTATGTTTAGGAACAGAACATCTAAGTTTTTTAAAAAGATACATTTATAGATTCTTCCAGCCACTCTGGAACTGCTTGCAAAGTAAAGTTTTATTTGGAAAACATCACTTTTACTAGGGAACTTTAGAACTTCAGTCTCTTTAGCTTATCAAAGAGAAGGTTAAGATGATTGTTTTTTCAGTCCACCAAAGATTCCCAAATATGGAGCCAAGATATTTGATAGTAGAAGGTAACACAACCCAGGAGACAAAAGTAGAACAAGAGCTAATGGGTTTTCCCAGTGTAATTTATTTCTCAGTGAAGGTAAGTAACCAATCGAGCAATGTGCCAAAAGTTATGGTTAGAGACCTACCGAATACATGATTTTTTGGATTTCATGGATTCCATGAAATCTGGCATTGCCTGTGAAATCCATGGTGGGGGTACTTACTGAGCACTGTGGCAGCTTGTCAGGGTAGGGGAGGGGGACGGCTGCCTGCTCAAAGATGCTGGCAAGATGGCTGCCAACTCTGCCCATCGCTGCTGATTGGCTGCAAGAGTTGCCTGTCATGTGGCCCTGCCCCTCTCCACCAATCAGTGACAAGGGGTAGGGCTGCATGCTGGAAAGCCCTTGCAGCCAATCAGCAACAGGGGGTGGGGCCACATGACAGGCAACCCCTGCCAACAATCAGCAGAAAGGGGTAGGGCCACTGGACCCCTCAGCCAATCAGAGGCATGGGGAAGGGGGGGTGGGAAATGCAATACTCTCCACCCATAAAAGACTGCCTGAGCCCATGTTTTGCCCATGAAATCAGGAGGCAGCCCCTGTGAATTAGGTAGGTCCCTAGTTATAGTGGATTCTTTGTCACCCAATATATTTAAGTCAAATTGGATATTTTTAGAAACTGCATACTGTAAGTCTCCCAAAGCATTGGGGGGAGGAATTAATTCAGGAAAACCTTAAGGCACTGGTTTTTCAGGAAAGCAAATTAAATAATCATAGTAGTCTCTTCAGATCTGAACATCTATTAATCTAATATATGAAACAGTGGCAAAAATCTAGCCCAGGATGGACATTTAGACCTTCCTCTGTTCTTTCAAGCAATATAGTTCCCCAAACCATTGGGACCAGCTTTTTCATTCAAAAAGAAAAGGAAGAGATGTGAAAGTAAAACAGCTAATGTATTCGACAAATCACGTGAATGAAATCCATTTTCAACAAGACAGAGGTCATAAAGAAAAATTTTGTATGACCGTGTACACCTAGATTATCATAATGCACATGCACAAGGTGAAGGTGGTCAGTGCAACCTTAATTTAGTGTTTGCTCTGAAATTGCCCAACTATTGATTAAGTGCTTGATTTTGTGATCTCTCTTCATAAATGTTTTTAATGAAATTATATAAAAATGAGGATAAATTAATTTTTCACTTACAAATATAATAGAGCAACTCCACTGACTTTGACTTGCATCAGTGCAATGAATGAAAAAGTGGGTCCAGGTATTGACTTTAATCACAATGCGATGACCAATTGTAGCTGCACACTGTGTTGAATATTTGCCTCTTGGTAATTTTGCTAAAAAAAATTGCTTATTCTGCTTTACCATGATTTAACAGAATGGTGTATTATATGCATCTCAGTGTAACCCTCTACCTCCATTTAGCTCACTCTATAATTTAGCTATAAAGAACTAAAATATTTAATGTCTAAGAAAAAGAATAAAAGACAAAAACCCATTAAAATTAACTTGTTTTCCTACCAAGTTAAAAAGAATGTAAGCATCCCATTCATATGAACAAGGAAGTGCATGGCTACAAACCTGGGAATTTAGTAATGTCACACTGAGAGGTAGATTACCTGCTTGTGAATATATCTGGAAAGCTGGAGTGAAACAGGGATGACATCTGATTTACTTGATAACTGTAACTGGCCATTTGCTGACAGTGGGAACAAAAGTGCTTATTTGTCATATCTCAAGTTACTACAGGCATCAGGGCAGTAACAAAACCCAGTGTTCACACTTACTTGTAGATAGTCTCCATAGATAAGCCCACCTTTGCTGGCTTTGTTCAACCCTTCTTGCGACTTGTCTTGTCCCTCATCTTCCAAAGACAGCTTATTAAAATTGAATCTAGGAATATAATAATTGGATGAAAAAGAGAAAATATCAGATAAACCATGTTGCATTGAGGATAAGTGCACCTTAAATATAGATACTGCTTTGTTTTGGCAGCTCTGTTTCTCAAATATATATAATAAGTAAAATGAACAGTAAACATCCAGCTGTAAACATCAAAAATAGGTAGCCAATTCCTGTAATATCTAGATAGGTTAATATAGAGTCCCTTCTAATAACCTGTGCTTGAAAGATTTCTTAGGTAGCTAGCTTTTCTTCAGAGAGGATAATCTACACAATTATTTCATACTTTGATAGTCAATATGCATATTGGGAATTTTAGCTGATATTTTACCTGATATTTTCAAGCGTTTTACCCGAGTTTTACCTGATACCTACATTGTTAATTCATATAATAGAACAAATAGCAAAAATATACTCACTGATATTTGTTCCCCCAAAATGGACACCCACTCATGGCTCCAGAATCTAATAAAACAGAGTTATATTCCCTAGGAATATGCTCTATTAAGGTTCCCAATTCTACTGCAGCTTCCTTTTATGTAACCTGATCCCAATGCATAAGCCAATCAGCTACTACTCTTATCTGCCCATCCCTGCCATTCAGTGGTGTTACAGAAACTGTCCTGACAGAAACGTCAGCAAGTACATGTTTTGTTAGCTGTCCACTTACTTGAATCACCCAAAACAAGAACAGCTGGAATACTCTGTTTTGTTGAATGCCATATGCATTTTCAAATCAGTCACATACTTGAGGCTTGAAAAGTAATACAAATAATATAGAAATGAGTGAGAGCTCTGAGCACAACCTGAGAGCAGCCTTGAGCCCTAACATTTGAATCCTTGGATGTCTGAGATAGAGGTACAATATTTTAATCTTGGAGTCAAAACATGAAGGCAGCTTTATGTAAGAAAGAAAGGTGAAAAGTACATTAGGGGAAAGAGTTAAAAAAAGAGTAAGTGTTTTAGTGTGGGCTGAATCCTGCCAGAAATAATATTTTTTCTAAACAAAAACAAAAAAATTAGTCATGCACACAGGCTTCCTGAAATTATAGTGAAACATTTATTGTATTTCCTCTGTGATTTAATACACAAAGGTTTCTTAATACTTGCAGTATCTTCTCATGTGAAAGTCACAGTCATGTTTGTGTACGTGCGTTACTCAATTTTGTTAATCATCAACTTAACACAGTGGAATAACTGCCATGCATTTAGAATCCCCCCTGTGTTTGTACAAGTCCAGTCCCCTGCATTGACAGACACCATTTATCCAGAGTCCTAAAAATCATCTCCAACCACTTGCACACCACAACTATAAAGCACAGCACTATAAAAACTTAAGACATGCCACAGCACATCAGAGATAAAAAGCAGGAGTACAAGGCCACTGACAGTGCTTTGCTACTGCAACGCCTTAAGATGTTTAAAGGTAGTGGAAAAATTGATGCCTTGAGGCATGGGAGTGCCAGGCACCAGTCACACTACAAGTGTCCCTTTCTATATGCCAACCTGAAGAACACAAATATTTAAACGCATATATCACTCGCACTGATGGCTGAACCAAGAATTCCCAAGAACGTTTCTCTCTCCGCTCTGCCCTGCACTTCAAAAGTTTTTATTTTTAAACAAACATGAGTGCTCATTTTTACTGCAAACACTACAGTAGATCCCCTCAAGCACCAGAAATGTTTCCCTTCCTGCCACACTCATGATGCTTTTTAATATCCCTATGTGTCCTCACCTGCTCCTGCCCCTCAAACATCTTTATATGCCAATTCATCTTGTATTCAGTGTGCGAGTACTAGAGGCCAAGTTTCCAAGACAAGACACAACGGCAAAGGGCTTAATAGTGACAGGGGACTGAAAAAAGTCTGAGGGTGGACTGAGAGTAGAATAATCTCTTGCATTCTGGTTTAAAGAAGGTATGTTTACATGTTTACATCTTCTCTTGGATGCTAGCATGCACAGATAGAAGGTAATCCCCTGCATTAACCCACTTCATTTCAGGCATGCAGTTCTGAGACTTGAGCTACTCACCTTCTCCTTTTGCAGTAAAAGATACCAGTAGTGATCCCTAACTCTAGTACAACACTTTACCTCCAAACATCTTAAAGTATTCTAAAAAGAATTAAAATTGGAAGGTTTGTCTCATCATTCCCGTGTAACAGCCATAAGATGTTTTGGTTTCTTTCCTTCCCAACACACCTACAGAGAAACAACAACAACAATTTATCCTAAATATCTATATTTAAAGCAATTTGCATGCATTTGAGTCATCTGTAGACAAAAATTACCACATTTAGCAACCTTCCCCTAAAGCTTATTGGAGAAATCTGACAGTATCTATATTTAAAACAACTTGCATGCGTTTGAGTCATCTGTAGGCAAAAATTACAGCATTTAGCAACCTTCCCCTAAAGCCTACTGGAGAAATAGCCTTATCTTACAGTCTATCACCACCAAGCCCAGAAGGAATCTTGTCCTTTTAATGTGGCCGATGCATACCTGGCAATGGAAGCATGTTCAAATCTGCAGAACAATTGCATACTCCGTGTTTAACAAGTAGTTAACACCCTATCTGAAGATCTATCCCAAGCATAGGATGAATTCAGGGGCCCTTATTCTGATGATTTAATACTGAGTACACTCTTTCCTTTCTTTAAACCAGTACTTGCAAACATCCCAACCAAGATATACAAAACCTAGGGTTATTTAAAATGGTTTTGTGCTTAACTTCACACAGAAAAAAAGAGAAGTTATTGCTTCTCCCTGTAAAAATGAATGTGAAGATGAAGAGTATGGCATTTAAAACTGACAACTGACAGCTGCAGTTGGTTTTTAGCCAAGGCAGTCCCTGTAAACTGCCTATTTACTAAAACCAGCTGGTAATATAATATACCAATGCTCACTACACCCATTTTAAAAAGCTACATTCCCATTAGCTCACACACTAGCTCTGTGCTCCAGCCATTCAAATTCCAGCATTCTTATGATGCCCACCCGGGGCAAAAAGAGGTCTACATGAAGAGCTGGAGACCATTATAGAGAGGGGATTAAACCCACAATGTAATTGATATTATTACCCTATACATTAAAACACAGATTCTTACTCTTCTACATTTCTTTGTCTTAGAGACTCAGAATCCTTCAGTGTCTTGATGCAATAAAACACAGAGTTGCTATTCTTGCCACTGGAGGCTAGGCAAGGTACTGAAAACAGTGGAAACCTGCCTTGTACTGGGTTTTAAGGCATAGAAGTCAAATATATTTCTGGAATGAAGAAAGGTCTCATTGGAAAAAAAAGAATCGAAAGCTAAGCACACAGAGACAGCAATGTTTCATCATATGACAATGCAAAAAACCAGCAAGCAATAAAAGAGAAACACAGATTCCTGGAATGCAGCTATGTGTCCTTCAGATGACCTGCCAACACTATATAAGGTTTACAAATATGTTATGGTAACACCTGGAAATTGATGGCTGGATATTGGAACAAGAACAATTAACAGAATCACCTATCAACCTCATGTCTTGCCATCTAATGACTGGAGTACATCTACTCCTCACTGGTGTGATAATAGTCGAGCAGAGACTCAAAAAATAAGCCTAGTTGGTCTGAAGACAGCAGTAAGCATGTCAGAGAGCCAATAAATAAATAAAAATCCTCCCTCTGGCTAGCCAATTGGAGCTCTTCTATATTTGTTTCAGCCAGAAATGATCCTTGGCATATTTTATGACCAGGGATCCGGGTTTTCCATTTGCCAGGGAAAAATGCAGTAAAACCCGTATTTTCTTATTTTAAGGACAAAAACCTGGATTTTCTCCTCTAAAGCAGAAAAATGTGAGAAACAGCACGTCTCCCCTTGCAAGCTGGCAGAGTTCTAGCCTTCAAGGGGCTGGCAGGAGTGAGAGGAGGGCAGTCAGGCAGGGGGTACAATTGTGCATAAGTGCAGGTACACATGCACATGGTCAACAGGCAGCCTGGAGAGCAGCTCCCCTGCAGGTAAGTCTGGCAGGAGAGGAAGGCCCAGGGAGGGGGAAAATTGAGGCCCCAACATGAGAGAGAGACGACACATGTATATACCAGCATACGTGTAGATGGTGACACTTTACTGCGGAACTAATTAATCAACTCTGCAGTAAAGCACACATGTAGATGCATCCACTAACACCAAAAACTGTTGGGCAGAACTCCCAGCTGGTGATTATCAGTCCGGGGCCATTGAATACAATGGAACAATGCTGTTTTCACTAGCAGGGGATCTGGCTCTGTTATATTCATAAAATTCTGTGAATGTCTGACACACCAATATGTTCCTTAAAAAGATATTAATCTTTATGGCTACTACCAGCACTTCACAAGCGCACGCACACACAGGGTTGGGGTGGAGCTGGGACTGTTACCCAGCCTGGGTGGTACATGGAGCTTGGGACCTGGGGCCAGAATGTGCAGCCCCAGAGCCCAGAACTGAAGTGGGATGGGACTGTGGGCAACTTGTCCTGGAGGTGGTGGAGGGAGCTGGCTCCCCACTGCTGTGTGTACTCCTGGGGGAGCATGTGCCCACAGATTTGTGCAAGGGGTGAGAAGAGATGTGGGCTGCCCACTGTGGGCTTAGCCTCTCTGCCCTGCTGCTCTCCCCCAGGGGCCTCCATGGCCAACCACTTTGGACATGGTGTGGCAGGGAAGAGTGGGGCAAGGAAGCTTGGTGCCACCACAAGCCCCACACCACCCTGATAAGGTATTCTGGGCCTGCCTGGCAGCAGTGGGGGTGGTAGTATAGACTTGTGCCCCTCGCTGCTGCCAGGCAGGCACCGGGCACCTCGTTATGGTGGTGTGGGGCTTGTGGTGGTGGAACTGAGCTTCCCCATTCCACTCTGCTCTGCCACACTGAGTATTGCCTAATGGGCCTCAGAGCCCCCAGGGGCAGAGCAGCAGGGCAGAAGCCTGAGCCCACAGTGGCAGGGCTGCATTCAGCCCTGCCCCCCATGGGCTCCACTCTGGGCATGCTGCCTGTGAGTGGGCAGAGCTTGGCTCCATACTCTGTCCTGCTGCAGCAGCTGCTACTTCCCATGGGTGACAACCAGGGCTTGGGTGTTCAGGTGCTTCTGCAGGGGGCAGGAGGCTGTGGACCCAGGTCCCTGGCTCCATAGCCCTGGCAGCTGGGGGCCCTTTCTAGCGGGACTGGGGGGGGGGGGCAGGGAGCTGAGGGTGGAGAGTGAGGGCACCAGCAGGGCTGGAGGGTTGTGGGTCAGTAGTGAGGGACAATGGCATGGGCAAGACCCCAGCATATTATGGCAGCTCAGCGCCACAGTGGGGAGTGAGGGAGGAAATCATAGATGGATCTGTGTCCTGCTGAGCAAAGGGGGCAGGGGGAGCTCTGATTTTTTATTATAAAAATTACAAAATCAAACATCAAAATGTATAGATATTTAGAATTTATTTTATTACTGTGATTGAGGCACTGGGAGGCTTCCACATGGCTTTAAAATTATAAATATATCCATAAAACATTGTGTTCATCTGATAT